ATAGCGACCGATCTCGATCGGTCGCTATGAGTCTCATAGCGACCGATCTCGATCGGTCGCTATGACGCCTGAGTTCGGGCGCCTCCGCCGCCCCCAGCGCCGCGCACCCAGCCCGGGTCCGCGCTGCCCCCGCTGCCGCCCGCCGCATCCACCGGCTCCCGGCGCCAGAGTGCAGGAAACACGACTTCCCACTCCTCGCGATCGGGGGTGAACTGCAGCCCTGCGGGCGGGGCAGACAGAGAAGTGCGGGGCTTAAAGTGCCGCGGTTCCAGTAGCACAAGCATTCCCAGGCTCACACTCGGTTCAGACACAAGGCTCTCGTGTTAATGCGCCGGAGACCACCCGTCTAGCCCCTGAAACTCTTGCAACCCCTGAAGCCTTGCGATCAGATTACAAACCCCGGCATTTTCAAAATAAAAGTACGATTATATGGGGGGAGGGGTGACGGAGTGGGGCAGCAAAGTTTGGTGACAGCACTTGGTTGTTGAAGGTAACCCAGTGCAAAGACTCCAACACAGATAAATTATTTTCTTAAGTGTATGTCAGAGCAAAGCGTCGCTATCAATTTCTGTACTTCCCCATTTTCCTCTAGGTGCTGTAATCGTACCTTTGCAAAGATTTCTCCTCTCATTAGAGGAAGGCTGACCACGCCAGGATGTTTAAAACGAGGTCGAGAGAAGTGCACTTCGCTCGCGAGCGTGACCCTCTCATCTGCACCCGCACGCTTTTTATTGCTACCTACTGAGCCCTGCTCGCCGCGCACCGGCTGCACCAGCCCTGCCCGCCCGTGCGTTCTCGGTTTCCGCCGGGGAAGGTGGAAAGCAAGCCCAAAGTCTCGGGAGAACTTACCTGAAACGATCCCATTCGACAAGACCCCCAGCTGGTAAAGGAGGCAGCAGCAGCAGATGTGAGTAAGGCGCATCTCGCGGCTCTTTCCGGGACCGCGCTCCCGCGGCCGCGGTTCCTTGCCCCGCGCGCGCCTCCTTGCGCGATCCACCGCGGGCGCCGCCGCCTCCCCGGAGCGCAAGGAGGCCGGGCGGCGAGTTTGCCCGGGCCCTTTGTCTGCCGGGGGTGGGAGGGGGGTGCTGTGTGACTCC